GGGGCTGCAGCTGAGCACGCCTTGCCCCGGAGGAACCATCCGGTTCGCCCCGAGGGTCGGCGATAAGAGGAAAAAACACAAGATGGCGTTGTCCAGCGTGTAGTGACCTGTCACTGGGAAATGTTCCACGACGCTTACCTTGGAATAAGACTGCTGTCATCTTCTCCTCGGGGAGGAGAACTCACCGGACGACCGGAGGTCGACTGCCGGGCCCAGCATCCTTCACAAGGTTGGTCATTTACACAACTTATCTTCTTTGTTCTTCTGACAGTGCTATATTAGCTCGCTGAAGAAAAAATGGGAGCCGATTTCCCGCTCTTAACGTAATTTATACGGACCGGGTAGGGCCCACACAGCAGGTGGGCGTGGACTAATTTTTTTCAGTGCTTATGCTCTGCATAACGGGATAAACCCACTAAAGAGAAGGCCTTAAAGGGCGAAGCTTATATGACATAGAACTACTTTTTGCTCCTGCGTAATGTGAAGACTAAAAAACGACAAAACACAATTTCATTTATTCAAAATTAACCACTTAATAAACAAAAATAAACTTGAGATGTCAGCTTTTGGAAGGTAGTAGAATAAAGAAAAATATTATTACCATCTTTGCTGTCCGCATCATCTGCAGCATTAAGTTTCTGCTTCTGAATTTCAGACATTTTAACTCGTTTCTCAGCATCAACTTGTCACAACCTCGACCTGCTCTCCATCAGTCTCATCCTGTCAGCTAGCAGCTAGCATGCTAAGCTATCGTCGCTAGCTTTGCAGCTTCTTGGAGGTTATTCCGAAGAAAACACGTTCAGAAACACGATGAGCAAAACTACATATTTTTAAAAGTCTTCACTTGGTGCAGAGGCTTCGAGGACTTCAACAGTTTGAAGATTAAAAACCGTCTGGTGCGGAACTGTTTGCTGAGCGGGTGAAGCACGTTGACTTCCGCTTGGCCTTCAAAATAAAAGCTCAGAAAATTGCGTTTTAATGAAGCATTACTTAGAAATATGTTTGAAACATTGTGTGTATTCTTTTTTTAATGTGTTTAAAATATTCACTTTTTTTACAATTACTTAACAATGACAAATAAAACAAATTCATTTTTCTAAACCAACTATTTTTTTTTAGTTTGCAGCTGAAAGATGTAACTAATATTAAATGTAAACCTTTGAATTTTAACCTAAAATGTTTGCTGCAACATTTTGTCTTTAATATTTATTTTTGTTTTGAGTTTATGTTCCTGTTGTGTGGCAAGCATTGCTTTTTATCTGTAATAAACTGATATTTGATACTTTTTCACTTCTTTACCTTATGTTACTTCTCTGTTGCTATCTTCACCTCCCATTTTCTTTTCTATATTTTTTAAGCAAAAAGAGTGCAATCATAATAAAACAAAATTAGTTTTTCTTATTTTGTTCTGTTAATTAGACTGGAATAGAGAGGCTTGTTTAAGATGGGAAGACCAAAAGTTGTATTCTGAAAAACAATGAATCTGCTGAAAAATCTTTGAGAACAAGAAAACTGCTGTGAAGAAAAATGTTTATTTCGCTCATCAAAACAAAACAAAAACAAAAAAACAGATTGATTGGCAAACAGCAAGTATTGATTGCACATGGACACTTTCTGTGGCAACCATCCGAAAACTCTTAACAACTTAAATACCTTTTAGTGCAACTCTTTAGCATGTTGTTGTTTCTGTTACTACGATTTACAAATCATATATTAAAACAAAAACCTGTTAGTTAAAATCATTATTTTCAACATTTTACAGCAATAAATCCCTCACCCAAGCATTAAACATATGGAACACATAGATTCAGTAAGTCGGACATTAACGTGTGCAGGAATTATGCCTTTCTTTGAACAATTATTCTTATTATAAATAATAAATCTAACAGAATTGTACAGATTCAATCTTTAGCTTCATCCTCAAATTTCTGTGTGGAATAAAATCTCTTGATTGAATCACCTGCATCATAACTGAGGGTTTGTTTTGTACTGTTTTCGCTGCTTTTGCAACGACAACGTGTCAGATAGTTGCAGTTCCAGATTGTGTTGACACAAGACCAGGAAAGCTCAACCCTACCCCAGTTCAACCACGGTCCCAACAACAAAATCAAATCAGTTATGGTTAACTCGTATCATTCTCTAAATTAATTTCAAGTAAAAATCCCAGAAGTTAAAATATATTATCCAATATCTTTCACATAAAAACATTGTTTTAGTGTCTTTAGTATTTACAGTATATATGATGACTGTTTTATAACCATCAAAGTATCCACTTGATCACAATATACATTTGTGAATGTCTCTTTTTAACAAATTGTCATTTTGGCTGATGTGAACATTTAAAATATAACATCTAAATGTTTTTTTTTTTTGTTGTAGATCTGCTCGTGTGCTCTGAGCTGTAACAGCAGATTTTGATTAAAATCAGCTTTTTAGGCGTTCACTAAGAACCGTCTGATGTAAATCCACGTAGAAGCTGGAAAACAACACGACTGTGAGAGTTATTATCCATGAGAGAACAAAACACAAGTCTGCACTTTCTGAATGAAAACTGTGAACAAAAACGCTGAATTTTTTTTTAAGTCCTTTGTTTCTACTTATGTATGTTTTGAAAAAGTTTTTCTGTATTCCAAGCACAAGATTTTTTTTGTAAAAGATCATAACTTTAAAAACTACAACTGTATGTATCAGTAATGTGACGTTTCAGGGAGTGCACCATAAATTCAAGTAGTTTAACGATGAGGTTTGACATTTTCAACAGTGAAAATTAACCTTTAGATGTGTGAACTAAATAAAATGAACACGTAAATAAACGGTTTTACTGAAAACGCAGCTAAAACCTTTTGTCTGTTGTAAAAATTCGTGATAAATGCGACAGACTACAGCTGACAGGATCGTTTTGTTTTTGCTAAAGAAAATCCTGTTGATTTTTTTTGCCCCTGTAATTAATTTTTGTTTTACAAATGAATAGTTATACGGTTTTAAATATTTAATTCTCTCTATTGAGGCACTTTATGAGGCGAGGTACTCTTGTTCTGGTGTTCTGACCTCGGAGATGAAAGGTTTCTCTCCAGTGTGCATTCTCATGTGTTGCTGCAAGTTGTGTTTTGTTCTAAAATCTGCTTTGCAAACAGAGCAGCTGAAGGTTCTTCCTGCTGCATGCCTTTTCGTGTGCTCCACTAAAGCATCCTGCCTCTTAAAGGCTTTATTACAGATGGAGCAGCAGTGTGGTTTGCCTTCAGTGTGACATCTCATGTGACGCATTAGATTTTTCTGTCTACTGAAGTTCAGACCACAAATGGAGCAGCTGAAGGGTTTTTCTCCAGTATGGATTCGCATGTGTTGATCAAAGGAGTGTTTCCGTGTAAAAGAAGCTTCACAGACGGAGCAGCTAAAAGGTTTCTCTCCCGTGTGGGTTCTCATGTGTTGCACTAAATTGTGCTTTTCTCTAAAAGAGGTCCCGCAAACGGAGCAGATAGAAGATTTTTCTGCTTTGTGAGACTTCCTGTGTTCCATCAAGGATTGTTTGTCCTCAAAATCTGCTTTACAAACTGAGCACCTGAATATCTCTCCTGTTGAGTGGATCTTCACGTGTTCCAGTAAATTTTGCTGCCACGTAAAAGCTTCGTTACAAACGGAGCAGAAATAAGGTTTACCTCCAGTGTGACATCTCATGTGACGGAGTAAATTTTTCTTCCTGCTAAAGCTCAGACCACAAAACGAGCAGCTGAAGGGTTTCTCTCCTGTGTGGATTCTCATGTGCTGCTCAAACGAGTGTTTCCGTGTAAAACAAGCTTCGCAGATGGAGCAGCTGAACGGTTTCTCTCCAGTGTGGATTCTCATGTGTTGCACTAGATTGTGCTTTTCTCTAAAAGTGGCCTCACAAACTGAACAGATGAACGATTTTTCTTCCCTGTGAGTTTTTTTGTGATCCAACAATGACTGTTTCTTTTTGAAATCTGCTTTACAAACTGAGCACTTGAATGTCTCTCCTGTCGAGTGGGTTTTCGTGTGTTCCACCAAATTTTGTTTCCACGTAAAAGCCTCGTTACAGACGGAGCAAACGTAAGGTTTACCTCCTGTGTGACGTCTCATGTGCCGAGTCAAACCTTCCCTCCGACTAAACTGTTGACTACAAATGGAGCAGCCAAAAGGTTTCTCTCCGGTGTGGATTCTCATGTGTTGCACAAATGAGTGTTTCCATGTAAAAGTTGCTTTACAGACAGAGCAGCTGAAAGGTTTTTCTCCTGTGTGGATCCGGCTGTGTTTCAACAGACGGGACTTGTATTCAAACGTTTTGCCACATTCAGTGCAGATGTGCAGCTTTGTCTCAGAGTCATGTGCCGTATCAAAATTGAGAACTTCATTACTTGTTAGAGAGAGTAAACCTGGCTGAGCTTCACTGCTCTCCTTCCAGCTTCCATCACTGACATCTGTCTCTGAAAACTCTGAAGTCTTGTCTTCTATGGCTGATTGTAAACACCAGTGTGGTTCCACAGAGTCTCTGTTCTCCTCCTCCTGATTAGAATGAAGCTCTGAGGAATGAGGATTTTCTTCATCATCCTCACTCTTCACAGGACCAGAACTGAATGTGAACTCTATAATATCGCTCCCCTCCTGTTCCTCTTTAATCTCTGGGGGCTTTTGGTCCTCCTTGTCCAGACTGGGACTCCAGCTCTCAGGAGAAATCTCCTCTTTGATCACCAGCACCTTCTGGATATCTGAAATAATCGAAACACAGACAAGTCGAATAACACTTCTGATGACAGCACTAACGTTAACCCAGATGTAGTATGAATTATTAAAAGGCATGCATGCCAAACATTATTTAGACAATCGGTTTTAATGCTTTTACTGAACCACAACAAATTACACACATTTTAATGACCTTGTAAGGATACCAAATGTATCAGAGTCTGTAAATTATTATAATTACTATTATACTGTTTTTTATAATGTACATTTTTATTATTTGGTGTGAGATATGAAAGGCTGGTTTATATAAGTGTTGGTCACACTCGAATAACTGGCAACTAATGCTGCTTCTTTAAATATGACATATTGAACTTTGAAAATGGACATTATTGGTATAGTAATAAGTTATTATAATGACACGTGTCACATTAGATGATTGTTACCATCAAGGTGAGATGACGTCTTTTCTTCGGCTGGACTTCCTGGTTTTTCTTCCACTAACTTCTTCTGATGTTTCATCAACACCCCTAACATCTGGACTTCAGACATTTTCACATATTCAGCAGCAGCTTTGTCTCCATGAACTCCGTCACAAACACAGTCTTCTGTTCTCCATCAAAACGTCATTTTGACTCGACTCGTTCCCCAGGTGAGGTGGGCTAACATGCTAAGCTAACATGCTAAGCTAACGTTCGTGGTTTGTAACAAATTATTCATGAAGAAAAATTGAAAACATGATGAAAAAACAAGAAGTCCTTTAAGAAACTTATATTTGGCATATGAGTTTCAGGACTCACTTAGAATTAAACTACAATAACAGTAGGCTATGTTTACATCACTGTTTAGATGAACCACTTCCGATTATAGCCGGATGCGTTTTGATCGGCCTTCAAAATAAAGGCACCACGATTTGACAAAAGAGAAAGTCGAAGTATTTTACAAAATAAATTTACCTTTATATACTGAAACAAAATTGGAAAGGTTTCTTCATTTCCACACATGTAACTAAAGCTTTTATTTATTTTTAATACTGTATACAGGGAAATAAAATTATTTAATACTGTGTAATTTCTTGAGGAAAAAAAAAATCACACATAATTTAGCGTTCTTTACATTTATATTGTTGATCTTGTAATTTTTTTTGTTTATAGTAGCTTAATTTCTTTACTTTCTATCCATAATCCCAACCCAACTTTTCTACACATTACACAGTCTGATGATGGGGTGACCTTGCTAGAATATCCAGTGGAAGTTTGCCACTTGTGAGTATTTTCTCACCTGAACTGTGAACTATGTTTGAAAATGACAGGAAGCAGTAATTTATGTTTGTAAAATTACTAATTACTAGGGTGTGTAGTGTACTATTGCTATACTGTATAGCAATAATACACACCTGATCTGAATGCTGCAAATCAGAAAGGTATATGCCAGAGATTAAGATACAATTTATTTAATTTATTATTAAATATGTGACTATCAGTTGAACAACACTGATCGGTGTCCAGTTACTTGTGTTGTCTCGTATGGTGTATAGTTTCTATTTCTCTTATATAACTTGCTTTACAGATGAAGTTGAAGGAACTTTCTTCTGTGTAGGTTCTTGCGCGTCGCATGATTCATGAAACTATTGTGCCACTTGAAGGTTGACTTACAGATGGAGCACACATTTGATCCGTCTTCAGTGCGACACTTTTTGTAATTTAGTTTTCCTTCGTGTGAAAGATCGGCTACAGATGAACAGTTTCTCTCCAGTGTGCATTCTCATATTTTTTAAGGAAGGTTTTAATCGAAAAGCAGATCTTCAGACGGAGCAGCTGGAAGGTTTTTCTGTGGATCTCAATGTGAGTCAGTAATTTTTTAAAGCTGTTACACTGTGGCTCAAAGCGTTTTCTTCTTTTGTTTTGTATTAACAGATATTCCTTGAATTTGAAAGTTTTATCACTTTCTGTGCAGTTGTGTTTTCAGTGTCGTCACTTTTACCACCAGCTGTAACTTTAATGACATTTAAACTGTCTGAGCTTCATGCTGTCCTCCAGGTCTCCATCACAGACATCCGTCTCTGAAGAATTTGAATTTTTGTCTTCAGAATCTGATTCTAAATCTTCATCTGCTTCTGGTTTTTCTACACTCTTTACTATGATGAAGCTGTTGGGGAACTCTTCACCAGTTTGTTGTTAGTTCCCTTAACATTTCCATGTCTTCCCACGACTACAGCAACAGTTTTGTTTTTACACTCACACAACCTGCTTTCCTGAGATTGGCCTAAAAACAGCCTAACATGCATGTTTGTTTGGACTGTGGAAGGAAACCAGCGTACCTGGAGAAAACCCACGAGAAGAACATGTAAACTCCATACAGAAAGACTCCCGGCCCAAACAAGGGATTGAACCAAGGACCTTCTGCTATGAAACAACTGTGCTAACCACTAAGCAATCGTGCTGCCAATTTTTTTACCACTGAATTCAGAATTGTAGCTTGTTTGAAAATTATAATTTTAAAAGCAGCCGTTGCTCATGTAAGGTCATTGATGTGGTTCGTCTTTGGTGTCGTGTTAATGTTCATCCGAATGTTTCAGTCTTGGACAAATCTACTTTATAAAGTGAAGATGTTCAACCATGCCAATGATCAGTTAATCAATACGTTTAATTAGTGCTCAGCTGCGACTTACTGCTCAACATGCTGGGCTAAGCCAGACATCTGACTTACTGGTAATAGTATACCTTTGGATAAGACCACATTTTTTATTATCTTCTAATTAATTAATATATATATATATATATATATATATATATATATATATATATATAT